CGAAATTATGTACACAGGGTCCCAGTTACATCCAACAATAAAATGTAAAAGAGAAACAATGATAACATCTAAGATATGAACTAAGAAAAACATCAACTAAATACATTAAGCAATCATAACATAAAAACATTACGTTGAACATCAGCAAAATCATGAAAATGAGTCTTTGTAAGCAGATGAGCAGGCATGAACACATCAACATTGATACAGATCAGCAGCAACATTGATACAGATCAGCAGCAACATGAAACAGATCAGCAACAACATGATGTGATTTTTTCACAGTGATTATTCTGGTTAGGTGGCCCTCTTCCTGCATCTGGAGTTGTAGATGACTGTGATGGTTGGGAGACTGACTCCAAAAGTCTTCTGTGCAGCCTTCACCACTCTCTGCAAAGCTTTTCTTTCTGCAGCTGTGCAGCCTCCATGCCACACGTTGATGCTGGAGTACAGGATGCTCTCCACTGCACACCTGTAGAAGGAGGTGAGGACTGAGCTTCCCAGACCAGCTTGTCTCAGCCGTCTGAGGAAGTAGAGTCTCTGATGAGCTTTCTTGATCAGGCTGGTGGTGTTGTTGCTCCATCTGAGGTTGTCATTCATGTGTACACCCAAGTACTTGTAGCTGGAGACCACTCCCACCGCAGATCCTTTTATGTTCAGAGGGGTGTAGGTGTTTTTGTTCCATCTGAAGTCCACAATCATCTCCTTTGTCTTCTTCACGTTGATGTGAAGGTTATTCTCTTTGCACCAGCTCTCTAGGTGTTCCACCTCTTGCCTGTAGCTGGACTCATCATTGTTTGTGATGCATCCCACCACCGCTGTATCATTTGCAAACTTTACAATGTGAAAGCCTGGATGGGTAGCTGCACAATCTTACGTGAGCAGAGTAAACAGGAAGGGGCTCAATACACATCCCTGAGGAGAGCCAGTGCTGAGGGTTATGGTGGAGGACGAGAAGTTGTGGATCCTCACTGACTGTGATCTGTTTAAGAAGTCTAGTACCCAATTGCAAATGGAGGGGCTTAGTCCTAGTGTGGATAGTTTGTCCATCAGGGTTTGGGGGATTATGGTGTTGAAGGCAGATGTGTAGTCCACAAAGAGCATACGGACGTAAGAGTTTTTCTGCTCCAGGTGGTTGAGCGCAGTGTGGACCACAGAGGAGATGGCATCCTCTGTTGATCGTTTCTCGCGGTATGCATACTGATTAAGGTCCTCGTTGATGGTTGTTTTGATGTGAGTCATGACCAGTTTTTCGATGCATTTAGCGACTATTGGGATGAGGGCCACTGGCCGATAGTCATTCAGACCAGTCACTGTAGAGCTCTTTGGAACTGGGATGATGGTGGCAGTCTTCAGGCAGGTGGGAACTGTCTCCAGAGTAAGTGAGGTGTTAAAGATGTCTGTCAGCAGACATCTATATATTTGTGTGTATATGTGTATACTGTCTATTTTGGAGTTAGAGCCGTTCCTGGTGGAAACTCCACGAGTCGCCACTGGTAGAAGCTGTTCCTCAGTCTAATGGTTCTACCCTTAATGCTCCTTAACCTCCTTCCTGAGGACAGAAAGGTAAAAAGTGTGTGTGCTGGGTGAGTGGGGTCCTTCATGATGCAGGTGACCCTCTTCCTGCATCTGGAGGTGTAGATGTTTATGATGGTGGGGAGACTGACTCCAACCGACTTCTGTGCAGCCTTCACCACTCTCTGCAAAGCTTTTCTTGCTGCAGCTGTGCAACCTCCATGCCACACATTGATGCTGGAGCACAGGATGCTCTCCACTGCACACCTGTAGAAGGAGGTGAGGACTGAGCTTCCCAGACCAGCTCGCCTCAGCCGCCTTAGGAAGTAGAGGCCTTCCAGTTAGAAGCAGAAATATGGCTTTATGTCTTAATGGGTTCTTACTGGGTTCTGGATTCACGCTGGGAACACAGCAAGATCTGATTTAGTATTTCATTGTTACTGATTATGTTTTGTGTTTTTATGTTCTTATTCCTGATGCTGTACTTATATCTTGTTATTTTTTATTTGATGCTGCAATCTTTTTGTTAAGCACTTTGGTAAGAGTGCCAGTTTTAAATTTGCCTTATTAATAAATCTGACTTGACTTGACTTCTTTCATAAAACATTTCAAGGCAGCCTTAGACCACTTCTGGCCACCTCAGTGTGATTTCTGAATGGCCCATGGTAGTGCGGGGAGTTGAATCCAACCCACTCCTGATGCTCCTTTGTGCTGTAGAGTGGGGTAGTAACAGAGGCGAAATGGTCAACATGAGAAGGTGAGCCAGCTTGGCAACACAATAATGTGGTGAAGTGATGACATCTGGTCTGTGTAACCACGTTAAACAACAACAAAATAACAACAAAGTCCATGCTCAATAATCCAGGTATACAATCCAACATTTTTCAGTCAGGTCATTTGGACAGTTTCTTTTTTTTTTTTTTTAAAGAAACTGTCCAGATGACCTGACTGAAGGACCTGCTAACAAGACCTGCTAACACTGCTAACAAGACCACACTGCTAACAATACCATGCTGCTAAGGACTGTGTCCTTAGTCCACTCCTGTACTCACTATTTACACATGACAGTACCACCAAGCACAGCTCTAACGTCATCATCAAGTATGCTGATGACACCACCATCTTGGGCCTCATCACCAACAAAGACAAGAGTGTCTAGAGAGATGAGGTGAAATCACTGACCAGCTGGTTTCAGGAACATCTGGTATCAGGAAAATAACCTCTCTCTAAATGTCAGGAAAACAAAGGAGATGATAGTGGACTTCAGGAAACAGTGTGGAGGTCAGCACTCCACCATCTACATAAATACCGCTGAGGTGGAGCAAGTCAGTAGCTTCAAGTTCCTCGGCATTCACATTACCGAGGATTTGTCCTGGACTTTACAAGCAGACACTGTGGTCAAGAAAGTCAGACAAAGACTCTACTTCCTAAGAAGACTAAATAAGTTTGGTACGAACACTAGCATCTTCACCAACTTTTATAGGTGCACCATTGAGAGCCTGCTGACATGCTGCATCACAGGGTGGTATGGGAACTGCACCAGTCAGAGCCGGAAAACACTACAGAGGGTGGTGCAAACAGCAGAGGACATCACTGGTAACAGTCTCCACACCATCCAGGACATCTACCACAGCCGATGTCTGCATAAAGCACATAGCATCATTAAAGACCACACCCACCCAGCACAAGGACTCTTCTGTCTACCACCCTCAGGCAGATGATACAGGAGTCTGTCATCGCATACAAAAAGACAAAAGGACAGCTATTACCCACAAGCTGTCAGATTACTAAACTTTCGATAAATAACACTGAACAACTGGCAATAACTAACTAATAATTCAACTTCAATATCACTACTTGTGCAATAACCTGTCACACAACCCGTGTAGTATATGTTGATTATGTGCAGTGTATAT